GACTCTAGGAAAGAGTGTTAAGTTTGTTATACTTAATTGACCACATCAAGAAAATAATAACTTTGTGTGAATGTCTTGTATTCATATTTGTTTGCATGCATTTTGAAACTGGTGATTTAACACAACTGGTCCTCGCTGCCATCGATGCTGCCTGTGCCATGTGTCATAGTTTAATATTTGCCAAACAGTGCTGACAAAAATCTGGGAGGTGATCATTAAGCGGAGACGTAGCAGTTGGCCTTGCATGTCTGTTTCAGACAGTTGTTGAAAGGTTTATGGAGACAGTTTGTCAAGTCTCATATCTAATAAAGATGTGAATGATTGTAATCTCAAATATTTGAAAAGGGCTAAACTTCTTTAGATTTCAGCCAAAGGAACAAAGGTGGAGGCCTTGGCATTTCCATTACCACCCTAATGTTCACAAAGAGTGCAATAATCATGTCATAATGATGTAGACTTATCAAATTTGTTTTTACCCAAACAATACTGCCCAAAAGTATCAGATGATCTACACACAGCTCCCTGATTTACCCGGGATAGTTGCTGAAGTTGAGCTCTGACTTCAGTCTCCTGTTAATGTTGATTCTGCTTATTATTCTAACATATTAAACAGTTTGCTGTGTATTTCCACAGCCTCAGTGAAAGTCCACAGAAATGGTGATGCAAATAAGAATACAGTATAAGCTCATCCTTTGACAGTAAGTATTCTAAGAAGGCATTTGTCAACGGTCTGTGATCCACAAGCAGAAGGAAATCATTTTCATCTTTTTGGATTTTTTGGAATTAAACTTGCACATTGAGATTTCTCTCTCTCTCCTTGAAGGGCCTCAGGTTGAATCATCTGTGCAGCCTGTGCCGGTTACAGAGAATGAAAGGGTGAGTGTAACATGAAGTTAATTGAAAAGTGATGGAATACTCACTGTAATTTGTGTAAAGTCGGCGATGCGATAAGTTTGGACAAATCAAAATGCTGCCAGAAGATGCATGAACTTATGAAGCTAAAGTAACTTGGTACATGATGGTTAAAGAATAATGTTGTTTTTGTTTTGTCGTCTATACAGTCCTGTAGGCCACCATGCACAAAACTTTACCATCAATGACAAATCTTTGTCTTTTTCTTGGATCAGGGGTCAATACAGGGGCCACAATTTACACAGAAGGGCCAATCTTAAGTCCAACCGTCCGTCACAAATCCTGATTCAGTAAAGTACACATTTAAGTCATTCCCTGTTTGCAGTTTGCTCTATAGCTTTGTGCAAAGACACAAAGTTTAAACAGATTGCAACAAATCAACAAGTTGTCATATTTGTTATTAGAATTGTTATTTAGGACATTTTTCGAAGACTATGGAGAAGACAGGGGCACTCAAGCGGCCAATCAGATTTCAGCTGTCATGGATGTATTATAACAGTTTGTTTTTTAATACATATAAAGACTATTGGCCTTGTTTCTGCCAGTTCTGTTTGGTCCGTGTGAGGTCATGTAGTTTTGTCCACTTTCAGCCCCAAACTCGACTATTAACCTTAAATTTCCACTTGAATAATCATTTAAAAACGCAATGTCTATGGATTGACTGACTGCAGTTTATGTCTGAAGCACATTTTTCTCATCAGCGCTTCTCGATGCGACAATAAAACTGTCGTGTCGGTTGATGATGGATTAGCGGCGGTGAGTTACACAAGCTGACAGATTCAGCTGTGTCATACCATGTGTATGTGCTTGTGTCTGTGCAGCTGTTGACAGACAACATGTTGTCTTGATTACAGTGCAGATGATTAAAAAAAAGGTGGAAATGTACCAGAGAGCGGCTGTGGGCACCTTATACACAGGATTCAGTATAACACACTCTGGGTGTTTTTAATGAGGCCATGTGAGTAACTCATGTAAAATACACTTTGTTGAGTGTAAACACGTTTTAGTGATTCGCAATTCACAATAACCAGGAAAGTGATTGCGCAAGAAGACGACAAACTCAGACTGATTCCTGGCAGGGAGATACAGTGGCAGAGTTTGGTGCATTACTCATGTTTCTCATGATGTGACATGAAGGCAGATTTTATTTTCACATAGTCTGACATCTGCCATGCAAGAAATGCATTTATTACCATAGGCTTATTGTTCTACATCCAGATATCAAGAACTCTTATACGTTGGAATAAGTGGCTGATAAACTGAAAACTAAACTACATGGTCAGGTTTTTTTTTTCTTGTCTACCACAAGGCCGAGTAAGAGTTTGAAAAAATGGAGATTAAAGTGTATTAATCCTTTGTCTTTCTCTGGTTTGCCAACTTGTGCTGTCTTTCCTCAGAGGTATCAATCTTTCTGTACCTGTCCTGTCTTCCAGCACCTAATGAAAAACAACTGGCCACACTGGCACCACCGCTGGAGACAAACACATCTGGTTGGCAGATGGTACATGAGTGTGCCTATCAGTTATAGACTTAAAAAAAAACACTGATCAGTGTCACTTCCTATTGACCTCAAGGGTTTGAAAAGAAATTGTAAATTAGTGTGAACAGAAATTCTTGTTGGCTTTTTTAAACTTCTCCACTATTTGCAGCCACCACTATTCTTTTCACTGTCCGTTTTTTCTTCTACTGAGCCAAACAATTCCAGGAAAAAAGTAGTTCAAAACCATATGGCCCAAAAATGCAGCTTCTCTGGCCTGAGAGATGGGATTCCTTCTGGAAGCCCACAGCGGTTAAGTGAGGCAGAGAGACAAAAACAAAATATTATAGAGTGTGTGCACAAACACACCTACAGCTGTCTCTGTGGAAAATGGCTGGTGAGGTCAAAACATACCACAAGATAAAGAGAAAGCGATCCAGTAAGATAAATAAACAAATTGAATGTTTCTGTAAAGTGCTAAAATTCCTATATTTTCACACCTGCTATCTGTTAACCATGGACAACATTCACTGGGTAGATACAGGAAAACAATGAGGACAGGGAGTTGGACAACTAGAGTCAGTGGCTTTCCCTCATATTTCACAAAACCTGAACTGACCCACCCACGTATAAACTAAAGAAGGACCTCTCTCCAAAGGAACAGGTAGTAGTCAAACATCGAAAATGAAAGTAATTTACTTGTGAATAGGTACAAAATTGATAAATTTTGTACAAGAGGTAATTCAGGCAATATAAACAACATTTAACTGTGCACTTCCATAGCTGATGTGCAGTCTAGTTACACTGTATGTATTCCGTTCACACTGTTTATAATATTTCTATTCTATTTTTTAATGTCTTTGTGTTGATATAGAATGTTTACCTATTTATTATTGATGTCTATTTTTTGACTCCGCTGATTACTGCTGCTGGACAGCAATTCACCCTGTTGTGGGACTACTAAAGGATTATCTCATCGGATCTTATCTTATATCTTATCTTATTCCTGCATCAGATCTTTTGTAGACGTTGGCAATGTGTCAATGTAGGTCAAATAGTGCAGCCAGTGGATTGTGAGGAGTAGCCTCAGTATGGTTCTGTAATTACACCTGCCACACCAGACCCCAACTTTTCTTTTTAGATTTTCCTCTCAACTGAAAGAGCCTGGCATACAGTATCCTCTAGTGACTCTGTAAAATGATTCATATTTAATTTACCTGCCAGCCTCCTCAGAACACAGCATTTACGAATTTGTCATCGTCTTCCATTCCTGTCTTCCCCACTGAAACAGTTCACTTTGAGCGGTTGCACCACTTCTCGTGACGCAAGTCTCTTTGACACTGTCGCTGTGACTATAATGACTCAGATCGCCTCAGGGTCCTTCAGTGATGAGACATCTGTAATTTATTGAAACATTGTTTTGCCACGCTCTTCCTGAGAGCACATTCAGCACATCAGCAAAGCGGACATAGCAGTTTTATGTTTGTAGCTCACAGCGATATACTTAGGATGAGGATTTAAAAATGCTAAATTCTCCACAGATTTGTTCACAAAGTAGTTTTGTAGTCTAATGTGAAGGTGATCCGAGCTGATAATCTTCTCCACTGTCACAGCAAACTAGGCACATAGCCCAAAGCAGACAAAAGAAATGGTGCACTGATTTGTACCTGTGAGCTTTCAAACGTGGAAATGTTCTCACACCTCCAAAGAAAGCAGACAAAGAAGGTACAATACGCTGTGATGAGGTTTCAGACAGGGAACAAAAGAACGTGTCAGAAAAGACGAGGTGAGGGACAGAAAGGGAAAAGAGAACGATGTGTGGGAATGACCCAGTGAGGACTGCCAACAAGAATGCATTGCATTTGCGCATGTTTGTGTTATTTCTACTCTTGTGAGGACCAAATATTTCATGAACATGAGTGGGATAATATTTGAACTGAGGATGTTTTACATCTTTCAAGGGGGCTTTAAGATGTAACATTTGGGTTTAGGGTTAGATTTAGGATTCATTCAAACCATTTGACATTTGGTGGATTAAGGTGGATTCACGCTGCGTTACCTGTAAACAGGATCTTGTAATGTAGGAGCTTCACTCTTCTATCTTTTCAGATGATTTGAGGCTCAGAGATTGGTTCAAGGTTAATATCAATCAGTTTTAAAAGAAACGTGCAAATGATAAGAGTACATGCTTTTATTTGTGTTTAATTGCCAATAATCAAACTAAAAATGATAAGATACAAATACAGTTCCTTGCAGAGACACATTGTTATCACACTTAGTGTAAAATCATCTTTTCTGTATTTAATTTTGAGAGAGGCCTGCTTCAAAACTTCACAATTAAGCCATTACTATCAGTCAACCATGTTTTTAAAATGCTAAATTCCTGAAAAGTTATGGGTTACAGGTATGACGGCGCTCACACGTATAGTTTGTGTGTGTGTGTGTGTGTGTGTATACGTGTGTGTGTGTGTGTACCAGAAAGTGTGAATCACACAGTGACAGACAGGGAGGCGTGGTGCAGAAGGTGGGGCCGAGCTCACTTGGCTCCAGTCCATGTCCATCCTGGCTCTATAAGAGGAGCCTGGCTCTCTCAGCTGCACAGCCACTCAGGAATTCCTACCTGCCTACTACGTCCAGTGTCCCCTCACAGTCGCATCAGCCTCAGAGAAGAAGAAAAACATGGGCAGACAGAAGGTGTATTTGGACAAACTGTCCCGCTTCTTCCAGATCCGCAACCTGTTGCTTCGGCAGGCGCTGGCAGAGTGTCTTGGCACCCTCATCCTTGTGGTAAGTGTGTGTGTACATATGTTGAATATCTGTGTGTGTGTGAGCATAAGTGTGTGAACACTTCAGTGAACTGTGTCAATTGTCATGCTTAATGCAAAGGGTGCAAAGTTCATGCTTTGTAACATACTGCATGTTGATTCTTTTATTTGCATGTTGAATCTCTATTTTCCTTTAACAATTTGTCTTTTCGATTTTCTTTTGATGCTGCAATATGATCAAAGACTCTTCACGCAGCAGTGTTTGTGCTGTCATTTATTTTTGATTGGCATGTTTGAAGAAAAAGAAGAAAGAAAAAGAAAGTGCATTTCATTTCTAAACCATACACAGACTTCAAAGGTAACACTGTGTCACCGTTTTGAGCCAATGATTGTTTTGTAAATGTCAAGTAAATTACATTGGCAAACTGAGTCCAGAGCAAACAGGTAAGTATCAGGTTTCTCTGGATCGTATGTGCTGTGGGCAAAACTATATTCACAATATTTGCGTGAGGTTTTGGATCCGGGATCTTGCTGCATCCCAGCTCCAAAACTTCCCAACATTTCTCTCATCACATCTCAGGGAGGAAGCGTACACACAGTGTGTGTGTGTGTGTGTGTGT